ACACACACACACACAGAGTGGAATATTACTCACCCATAAAAAAGAATGAAATCTTGAATTTGCAACAACATGGATGGAGTTCAAGAATATTATGCTAAGTGAAATAAGTCAGTGAGAGAAAGACAAATACTATATGATTTCACTCATATATGGAATTTAAAAAATAAATTAGCAAAGAGGAAAAAAAAGAGAGACAATGAGGCAAACCAAAAACCAGACTCTTAATTACAGAGAACACACTGATGGGTACCAGAGGGGAGGTAAACGGGGGGATGAGGGAAACAGAGGATGGGGATGAAGAAGAGCACTTGCTGTGATGAGCATCAAGTGATGTCTGGAAGTGTTGAATCACTATACTATACACCTGAAACTAATATTATATGTTAAGCAACTGAATTTTTTTTAACCAACTGAAATTTAAAACTTAAAATTTTCTTCCCAATTATTTTAACAAAATCTTAGAGGTAAAATGGGGGATCAAAACATGCTAAAATTATTATCTTAGCCTATGCAGAGATAATCCCTAACATTTCATTTTTTAAAATTATAAAATATAGATTTAACAGTTTCTTAAATTGAATAACAATATGAGCAGAACAGAAATGATGGCGGCTGAGGGGGCTGGGGCAGGAAGGAGGGTATTTCATAATGAAATCACTGCCTAAAAGGCATCTTTTTGCTTTCTTATTGATACATGAAATAATGGTGTACCTACCATCAGTGCCTTCTTAAAGTCAATAAAATATGGTAACAATAAAAACAGCAATTACTACAATTTATCCAGTGCTCATTATATTACCTGTTTTGTGTCATTTAAATGGGTTCTAGGAGATAGTACCTAGATAATACCTAGGTTCAAATCTACTGATTAACCATCTAATCTTGGTTAAGTTATTTAGCCTCTGTCTGCCTCAGTTTTCTCATTTGCTAAAACAAGAACAATAGTATTGCTGTGGTATTAATTATACATGAAGTACTTCAGCAGTGTTTGGTAAATGAAAAGCACTGAAATTTTTATTAGTGCTTGCAACAATTCTAAGAAGTTGGTATTTCGTAGTCGTGTTTTAATAATGGGGAAAAAGGAAGCTAACGCCACACAGCAGAAAAAGAAGAAAATGAATATTGAAATTCAGCACATTAGAAAGCCATTGTTTTTAACTACTATGTTAAATTCTGTGACTCTTCACTGTTCTAAAGCATTCAGAAATTATATCAAACTTCACAATTCAAATAATAAAGTTATAATAACCCCTATCAAAATTTAACAAAAACAACATAAAAGACAACTAAAGGCCATATACATATATAAATGAAGCAATAAATTCAAAATAAAATATTAAGAAATTTAATTCAGTAGTATATTAAAGGAAATGCCATGATCAAATAGGAGTCATTCAAAGAATGCAAGAGTGGCCCAATATTAGGAAATGTATTAACACAATTCATTTCATTAACAAGTCAAAGAAAAAATCCTATCATCTCAAAGGACATCAAAACAGTTATTTCACAAAATTTTATAATCTTTTAAAAAGCAAACGAAAAGAGCACCTCTACTATCTACTAAATTCTGAATGCAAGGATACTTTCCAAAGATGATAATCTTCATCTTAAATGCAAGAATCTAGCATTTAAATGGAAAAATCAGAGGACTAGTTTCCAGTGCTTCTATCAAAGTTCTGAAATTCTATTTTGAGATGACAAAAAAGATCATATATCGTTGATACTGAGCGATAAAGCAAAGTAATAATTTGTAAATAACTATCTTCCCAGATGACCCGACTAAAAAAATTACATTTAATGGCAAGAGTTTAGAAAAATGGCCTTCTAGCACCAACAGCAAGGCTGAAAACCTAAATGAAAAAAGATTCAATACACAATAGAAAAAATGTTTTAATCTTAAGAATACACGTATAATAATTACAAAGAGAAATTTACTGAAATTTGAATAAATATCCAATATTTTAGGATGAGAGGACTCAATATTATAAAGACATTAATCATCCCTGATTTACCAATACATTTGGTTAAATTTAAATCAAAATTCCAGAAAGATCTATAAGTTTATGGTGAATTCTGGGAAAATATTTGTTTTGGTTGAGCTTGAACTTGACAAAACAATTCTAAATTTAAGAACAACAACCAAAAATGGGTAAGAATGAAGAGCTAATTTTTTAATGACTAATAAAAAAAGATTTACCTTGCCACACAGTAGGTGTTCACTAATCATTTACTATCTGTATGAGTTACTGAAAACTATAATAATCTTAAGAGTATAATACAAATTCCAGGAAATAACAGAAAAATCAATGGAATGCATTGGATAGTAAAAGAACAGACAAACTAATATATAATAATGTGTCATTTCAAATTAGTGAGGAAAGTATAATTCATTCAATATATTATAAACGACTATCTGAAGATGTAAAGATAGAAGGCTATGTTACAACATACACAAATATATATTCCAGGAAGATTAAAGATATGCATAAAAAACACTCAAGTAAAATTAAAAAAATAACAAGTACTCAAAGTAAAGACAGACATACATTTTTATGATTTCGAGGTGAAGAAAGTCTTTCAGTGAATTATAGCAAGAATATTAAGTGATGAAAGAAAAACATGGTGGATTTTGTTAGGTAAAAATATTCACAACTTACCCATAGCAAATATAAACAAAGTAAAAAACAAACATGAAACTGAGAGAAAAATCTGAACAGATTAAAAGAACTTACAGCAATCAGTATCCCAGAGGCAAAATGGATAAATGTCATCAACAATCAATTCACTTAAAAATACAAATGGCCAAGACACCTGCGTGGGTCAGTCAGTTAAGTGTCCAACTCTTGATTTCAGCCCAGGTCATGAGCTCACAGTCATGAGCTTGAGTCATGAGCTCTGCGCTGTGGGATTCTCTCTCCCTCTCTCTCTGTTCTATGCATGTGCCCACGCACTTTCTCTCTCAAAATAAAAAAACATTAAAAAAATACAAATGACCAAAAAAAATATGAAAGAAAGTACTCCAATTCATTGCTAAGCAAATATGTAAAGATGAACGCAAAGAAAAAAATCTGTTTAGCAAACACAGGAGCAGGCTATAAAGACTGAGAATCCTACTAATGATAATCATGTGATAAAAGGCATTGTAATGAAAATATAATTTGTTTAATCTTTCTGTAGAGAAATTTGTCAACATATATGTCACTGTAAATGTCCATATCCTTCAAATAACAATTTTGTTTCTAGTAATTCATCTTAAGAAAGTAACCTGATAAGTATAAGAAACGCATTAAACAGGTGCGCCTGAGTAACACAGTCGGTTAAGCATCCGACTTTGGCTCAGGTCAAGATCTCACAGTTCATGGGTTCGAGCCCCGCGTTGGGTTCTGTGTTGACAGCTAGCTCAGAGCCTGGAGCCTGTTTCGGATTCTGTGTCTCCCTCTCTCCTCTCTGACCCTCCCCTGTCTCTCTCTCTCTCGGAAATAAACAAAACATTAAAAAAAATTTTTTTTTTATTTTTTAAAAAATGCATTGAACAAAGATGATCAGACAATATTATTCAACAAGGGGAAAAAAAACATAAATGCCCCTCCACAATAAAGTAAAATATATTTATATGGCAAATTCATATAAATATATATTAAGGTCATTAAAATGTATATTTTTACTGACATCCAACTATGCCTATATTAGTAAGTGAAAAACCCAAAAGGTATTCTATGAGCCTACTTTGATTAAATAAAACTGTTTATTTTACAAGTTTACGACAAACACGAAAAAAGTCTGGGAAAATGTATACATGAAAATTTAACAAGGGTTCTCTTTTTAAAAATAAAAGATGATTTGGGGGCAGCTGGGTGGCTCAGCTGGTTGAACCTCGGACTTTGGCTCAGGTTGTGATCTCCGGTTTTTGAGTTCAAGCCCCAAGTGGGGCTCCCTCCTGTCAGGGCGGAGCCTGCTTAGGATGATCAGTCTCTCTCAGTCTCTCTCTCTCTCTCTCTCTCTCTCTCTACCTGCTGGCACTATCTCAAAAATAAATAAACATTAAAAAAAAAAATCTCGTGGCCTCTGGCTGGCTCAGTTGGTTGAACATCTGACTTTGACTCAGGGGGTGATCTTCACAGCTGAGATCGAGCCCCACAGTGGGCTCCCTGCTGTCAATATGGAGCCTCCTCAGACCCTCAGATCATCTGTCTCCCTCTCTGCCCCTTCCTCACTCGTATTTTTTCTCAAAAATAAATAAAACAGGAGCGCCTGGGTGGCTTAGTTGGTTAAGCGTCCGACTTTCGCTTAGGTCATGATCTCGCGGTTCGTGGGTTCGAGCCCCGCGTCGGGCTCTGTGCTGACTGCCGGCTCGTAGCCTGGAGCCTGTTTCAGTCTGTGACTCCCTCTCTCTCTGACCCTCCCCTGCTCATGCTGTCTCTCTCTCTCCTAGAAATAAATAAAACATTAAAAATTTTTAAAAAATTAAAAATAAAAAAAAAGAAAAAAGAAAAGGACATTACTAACAACTGACAAAGATTATCCACACTTGGTAATGGGGGAGCTGGTTCTAAAATATCATGTGTGCACTCTCTCTCTCTCAAAAGAAAAAAACAACAACTCTGTTATATTCCAAAACTCTGGAAAGTAACAAAATCTCTGGAACAAAAACTTTGAAATATATCAAAATCTCAACAGCGCTATCTCAAGAGGTGTATCATGAAGATTTCCTGCATTATTTAAATTTTCTCACAATGAGAAAGTGCTATCTTTACATTAAACACACACACTTCAAGTGTACATACTTAGGGTTTTTTTTAGTCAGCATATCAATAAAAATATGCTACATAAGTTTACATAATTAAAAAAAGGCAGAAAATGGCTTCAGCAATAGACGGAGTTGAGATTTAGTATCCATTTAATTCAAAAGAGCTTCATGGCACAAAACACTGACAAAGTTACAGACATTATTTCTCACATGACTTTGAATATAATACATATCCTCTTCATACAGTACTTACCCCGTATCTTTCAGCCACAATGTCTTCAAAATGTCTATTCTGTTTCTCAGCTTGTTCCTTCATCCTCTGGTAAGACTTCCTCAACCAGCTTAATCCACCATCTTCCACCACTGAAACTAATCCCAAAACTAAATGTCAGTTATACTTTTCATGTAGTTATAACAGAATTAATATTTATTGCTTCTATAGTAATTTCTTAAATTATAAATTATTCTTGAACAGAAAACAATCATAAGTGCACTTAAAATTCAACATATTATTTATGTACCTATATATTTAAGATACATATTTCAGGGACTGAGGAAGGCAAAAATAAAACTACCCTCAAAAAAAATGCAATCTAAAAGTATGAAGATAAAAGAATATAAACAATAACAATAAATACATAATAAAAATTATAAAAAGATAAAGAACTATACAAAAATGAGAGACAGATTATATCTACATGGAAGGTCATGTAAAATTTACAGCTCAAGCTTAAAACAAGGAGCCGGATTTCCATAAACAAAGATAAGAACAGGCAGGGCATGCCCAGAAATAAAGAATAAAAGTACACACATAGAAGGGGAAAAGTTACCTCAGAAACAAAGAACAAATGAGGAAATTACAGAAGATAATACCGAAATGTGTATCAAAACAAATTATTCTATTATAGTCATGACTGCCAGCTATGAAAATCTGAATGCCTTCGACAAACTTCATCACGGTGCTTGTATTTACTTCTACACACATCACACTTTTATATGCATAAAGAAGTCTAATCAATTACTTAAGTCAAAACTCTGTTGCCGATTTTACTTGTTCAAAAACAGGATCGCTCTAGGGGTGCCTGGGTGGCTTAGTCGGTTAAGCGTCCGACTTTCGCTTAGGTCATGATCTCGCGGTTTGTGGGTTCGAGCCCCGCGTCGGGCTCTGTGCTGACTGCCAGCTCGGAGCCTGGAGCCTGTTTCAGTCTGTGACTCCCTCTCTCTCTGGCCCTCCCCTGCTCACGCTGTCTCTCTCTCCTAGAAATAAACTTTTAAAAATATTAAAAAAAAAAAAAAAATAGGATCGCTCTAGATCACCCCAGTTCTATAATCAATGAAAACGCACAGAAACCCCAAAAGGTGTGTAAAAATCATCGTAGTGGAAAAGTCTGCAGTAATCCCAGCTTAGAAAACAACCCAAATGTCCACCATTAGGGAAATGAGTAAATAGCATAAATTATGGCATATTCCTAAAATACAGAGCAACGGAAATCAATGACTACAACTGTGCATAACAACATGGGTGATTCTGAAAAAGTGAACACAGGAGGCAGGACACCGAAGCGAACAGCGTACCTGCTGTGTGACTCCAGGGAAAACAGACCTTGGCGCTAGAAGCCACAGCCGTGGCGACTCGGACAGGAGCATGGTGACCAGAAGCGCCACGAGGAAGGGTGCGGGACGCCAATGCTGTTCTGCTGATTACACGGGTATTTTCACTTTGGAATAATGATCAGACTGTACAGTTAACTAACAATTTGCGTACTTTTCTGTACGTGGGAAACTTTACTAAAAAGTTTAAAGGGAAAAAAAAGACTTTTCAATCCTCTAACTGTAGTCTCACTCAAATCTCAAAAATCTATCTTTGGGGGGCGCCTGGGTGGCTCAGTCAGCTAAGCGTCTGACTTCAGCTCAGGTCATGAGCTTGTGGTTCGTGGGTTCGAGCCCCGCGTCGGGCTCTGCTGACAGCTCAGAGCCTAGAGCCTGCCTCAGACTCTGTGTCTCCCTCTCTCTCTGACCCTCCCCTGCTCACACTGCCTCTCTCTCTCTCTCTCTCAGAAATAAATAAAACATTTGGAAAAAAAATTTTTTTTAAATCTATCTTTGGTAAGTAATCTCTTCTAAGAAAAAGTCTTTCCTCACAGGTCTAAAATACTTTGCACTTTGAAACCTAGATCTCTAGTTAACTGAATGATTCACTTTTCTTTCAAGTTTATTTTGCTCTTACTCCTTTTTTCTTATTTTATACAATCTATGAGCTCAAAATTAACAATGCAATTACTCACGGAAGTTAGTCAAAATCCTCAATTTACACAGGGATAAGAAAAACCCACATCATTAATACCTATATTAACATCCCAGTTACACAATTAAGTTTATTTCAAAGAATTATCTATGAAACTGATAAAATGCTCACAGGCTTCTTAGAAAAGATTTCCTTAACAATCACCAGTATGTTAACATAGTTCAGAGAAAAAAAGCTCAGAGAAAAAGGAAGACTTTTATTCCTCTGTGATGACATTTATCAAGGAAATCAAACAAAAGTAAAAATTGTCAATGAAGTCAGTAAAGGGTAAAATTCACAATTTTAGAAATATTTATACAATAATATCTTTAGGGGCACCTGGGTGGCTCAGCCAGTTAATCATTCAACTTTGGCTCAGGTCATGATCTAATGGTTGGTGAGTTTGAGCCCCGCGTCGGGCTCTGTGCTGACAGCTTGGAGCCTGGAGCCTGCTTTGGATTCTGTGTCTCCCTCTCTCCCTGCCCTTCCCCAGCTCATGCTCTGTCTCTCTCGGTCTCAAAAATAAATAAACATTAAAAAAGCTTTTAAAACAATTTTTGTATGAATGCTGAAAACAGGTTACTTACTTGTCCACTTAATTTTTTTCTAAGGGAAGAAGATCAAGATTAATGAACTGATTTTTGAAAACATGGCACCTCAATCATTAACAAAAAAACCTGATGATAAACTTTTCCCCCAAACATTTCATCATAAGGACAAGTATTGGCCATTGTCATTGCTGTTTCCCTGTATTCCAGGTATCGTGCCACGAGATCGCCTTCCGGAGTCCTCACAGCACCCACCTGAGACCGGCTCCACCAGGTTCCCTATTAGAAATGAGGGAGCTGGGGGGGCGCAGGCTGCAGGCAGGCGGGACCATGCAAGGTACCGCGGGGTGACTGGTGATGGCGCTAAGAAGGCAAGTGATGAACTTCCTGTGCCGTGCAAGGAGTGGGACACGTGGGTGCTGAGCGGTGCTGGCCGCTGGGGCCCACACGCATACTCGCTTAAATTCATTGATGAAGATTCTGAAGGAAGTGACTCCTGACCAGCCCAAGCTGATCCAGAAATCAAAGCTGATCCAGAATCAAAGCTTAAGTATCAGGGTCGGGCCTTGGTGCTATCTTCAGCAACAGGTGCTGTCTGACCGATTCTCAAGCAAGATAGGCCTTAAAAATGAATGGGAAATGTGGTTTATTATGATTAACCCAGGCAGATTTTCCAAATGATTTGTGAAGCTATTTCTAGACGATGGGAAGCTAAGGAGCCTCTGTCCAGGTTTTATAGCTATTTGTCTTAAGAATTTACTGGAGCTTGTCAATTTCACAAATACTTATTTCTGAAAACATCTTTTAGGAATTTAGGTTGATTAAGAGGCGAGGTCCTGTGAGTGCTCTGATATAAAGATGCACATTTTTTAGGAAAACAGAGCTGGATTTAATGTTGACTACTATTATTCCCATTTGGAGCGAGAGTCATGTAAAGACTGAGAAAACATGTTTTTCCTTACAGAAGACAGGTACACACATATTCCGTAAGTAATAGTCAATAAGTTAACTGGATAATATACAATTTCTTTTTCTCTTTTCATTTCCAAACTGAGCTTAACTGGGTAATAACAGACAGAATGAAAAAATATCAAACATTCACCATGATGCTGTTTTTTCATATTTTGCTTCACGTAGCACTTTGGCTCAGCAGCTTGTCACATTATTCACTCAGGAAAGGTACTGTACTAGCTGCTGGGGATAAAACATAAGCAAAACAGCCCCCCTACCAGCACAGAGCTCATAATCTCAGTAGAGACAGACATTCAAATAACCACATGAGTCCGTGTAAAATAATAAGGGTCCTGAAGAAAGGGGACACAGAGCTAACACATACAGCAGGGAACAGCCCTGCTCTGAGAACCAGGAACAGCCTCTCAGGGGATCACAGGAGTGGTCTGAAAGAGGAGTTGGGGTTCTTTAGGTAATGGAGGGGAAACCTGTGCAAAGGCCCTGAGGCCCTTCAACAAAGGCCTGCAAGAACCGCACCGGTGGCCAGAAAGGAGAGGGTGCTTCCGAAAGGGTGTTTGTTTTTACCCCAGGAACAATGGGAAGCCCTTGAAGAGTGTTAGGAAGGAGGCCTGTGACAGGATTGGTTTTACTTCTGTAGAACCTGCTATGGCCGTCTCGGGGAGGCTGGGCCACAGGGGTCGCAAGCAGATCACCGCGGGGCTGATCAAGACATAGCAGAATCAAGACATAGCCCAGCCCAGCGGTCGTGCAGAGAACAGTGGACTTGGTGCCGGTGCAGCTGGCAGACTTTTTTTATTCTTTCCATTCTTTCCATCTTATACTGCATAAAGGACATTTCCCTTTAAAGATATTTTGAACAAGAAAATTCTGATTTGCTTTAAATGTTTGAGTTGCAAAATCTGGTTCCATAAGCAAGGTGAAGCCTTGGCAACAAACACTACCAGAAAAACTCTTACTTCCTCCCCCTAAAAAACGGGACCTAATAAATTAATACTATATTGAATCAGCCTGGGGGTTTTACTGTGTGCGGGTATATCCTTATTCAGCTATTTTCCTTAACTTCTGAATTTGCCGACTTTGCAGAAAATTAAATGCTTGAACTTGATGTCAAGTTAAGCTGGCTGGTTTTAAATAGGTTTTTTTTTCTTTTTTTCCAAATACAAAATACATGCTTACTCTAGAAAAAATTTCAGGCAAAGATTATGATAAAATAGAGGTAAAAATACACTTCTGTCTCCGTCTTTGAGAGGCACAGAACAGCATGCAGGGAAGTGAGCAGACTCTGGAGACCAATTATCTGGATTCAAACTGTAGTTTGGATACCTACTGGCCATGAGCTTGAAGAATTTACTTACACTCTTCTTGTAAAATAGGGATTAAAAACCAGGGCTGGGATTAAAAACCAGGGCTGTAACTCTTAACTATAGAGAACACAATGATGATCATGGGGGTTGGGGGGTAATGGGGGAAACAGGTGATGGGGATTAAGGACGCACTTGTGGTGATGAGCGCAGGGTGATGTATGCAAGGGGTGCATCACTATATTGTACACCTGAAACTAATATTACTCTGTATGTTAATCATGTGGAATTTAAATAAACACTTTTTAAAAAATGAGTAAACTAGACTCAGAGAAGTCAAGAAACATTACCAAAATCACAAAGCTAGTAAGTGGAAATGCCAAAATTCTAATCCCAAGTAGTCTAACGCCAAAACGTGAGTCCCTAACTCTAACACTATGTCACCATGACACAGCTCCTAATACTAAAGCTACAACAGTTTCTGGTGCCTAGCCATTTCAACCCTACCACTGGTCTAAATAGAATGACTACACTATCTGCATATGTGGTAAGACCTGCACACCATTTAAAAGTTAATGTCAACTCGAAGGCACCTGGGTGGCTCAGTCGGTTAAGCGCTCGACTGGCTCAGGTCATGACTTCAGGGCTTCTGAGTTCAAGCCCCTCATCGGGCTCTGTGCTGACAGCTCAGAGCCTGGACCCTGCTTCAGATTCTGTGTCTCCCTCTCTCTCTGCTCCTTCCCTGCTCACACTCAGTCTCTCTCTTTCTCTCTCTCTCAAAAATAAACTTTAAAAAAATTTTTTAACTTAATTTCAATTCTGGGATCTGAACCTCTGGTAGAAGTTTTCTGTCATTTTTCTTTCTTCTAAATAATATAAGAAAGGGGAGCGGTGAAAGCATATATGAAGGGGAAAGAAACAGGCTCTTTAAAAAGCTTCCTATTAGGTCGTTTTTCTCCTAGAATCTTTGATTATGCTGTTTCAGCTGAATGATACTACCTAAGGTAGAACTTTGAGTCTCCCACACTCAAGAAGTTAAGAACCGACTGACTGCAAATACCCAAAGATTAAGTTTGTCAAGTCTAAGTTTTCCCCAGAGATGAATTTATTGACTGTCCTCTAACAAGAGTGCTGGTAAAAGCCTGGATCATAAAATTAGTCCAACACAGTAATGGCTCAGCGAGCTAACTTACTGCCCTAAACCTTCGCTTTTAAGTTTCTAAAAAAAAAAAGTATCTCAAAGAGATTCCAGTGTGACTACACTTACTATGATAGAAACCAGCAGAGACATTTCTACCAGTGCTGAGAGGCAATAAAGAAAATGCTACGATTACTAATAACTTCGGCAAAACTGCTAAGGAAAAAACTACAAATGAAACTGTAATGTTTCCATTTCCACAGAATGCTCCAGGGATATCTCTACATAAAATATAAACAGAATTTTTATGAATGGCCAAAATAAAAATAAACAATACGATAGAAAGCAGGAAAACATTCTGATAAATCACTAAGATGAAAAGATAACACCCTAACTTACAATGCCACTATCTGTACACTGGGTTAACTGTAGTTAAAACTTTTCACGGGTTTGTCAATGCAACACTCAACTGGCATATAAATATTTTTAAAATTATGGTATCAAGTGTGATTATGTGACACTTAAATATTTTGTCTTCATCTGTTGGAAAATAACAGCACTAACCAAGGTAAGTAACAAATTTATGAATGCTGGCAAAGTAAGAATTTCTCAAGAACATATGAAATCCCATCTTTAGTTTTTACATGTTATTTTTATAAAATTTCAGACTTACTACTTTTTTACATTGTTACAGAATGCAACAAACCAAAGCATTATTATAGCCTCACAAAATCATACTTTGTATTAATCCATTCAAAACAGAAACTGAAATATGAAAACATTATCAAGTATAAATATATATATTTAATCAATTTCCTTGCAAACACATCAATAATCTTTCCAGGTACTAAATTCAAACAAGGCCTCAAAAGACTGCACACATTCTATTTACTGTCAATGTAATCTGAACCGTCAATAATAATCTACAGATGCTCATCATATGAAACCACAGATTCCACAGCAGATGATCAGTAAACTTACAGTTGTTTTGCAAATACAGAAATAAACACAGATAATTATGGACTTAAAACCACAGCACCATGCAGAAATATGTAATATTTAAACAACCAGATCTTGCCAATCTACCAACAAACTTCGGTCATTCCCTTAGGAATACCAAGTTACAAGAAAGGCCTGTGTGGCTACAACCAAAATGTAGAGATACCTTTAGTAAGTGAGGACACATTACAGTCTTCTGGGGGAAGACCTGTACCACCATCTTTCCAGTATGGATTCAATTCTCTTTCCAGCAGTCTGGACTAGAACAAAATATTTTCAGAGGTCATAATTTAAAAAAGAACACCATAAAATACATTAATCAATAATACATGAGACTCAGTTAACAGTTGTAACCCTGGACAAATATTTAAAACACTCCTAAGACATATTCTTCTGCAACTTGTAAAAAATACTGTCTAAATTAACACTTGTCCAATGCTTTCAATGAACGCCTACTATGAACAAAAACTGCCATAGATGCATAAGATATAATAATCAATATGCCTAACTCAGCCCTTGCTAGCGTAGGAGATAGTGAGGAACATAGACGATTAACAAGTAACTGACAAGTGCTTTGAGAACAGAAGTGCAGAGAGCTACAGCCACACTTTTAAAACTCTTCTCACGCTGAAAGATCAAAGACTTCCTAGAGGAGTGCAGTCTTACACCTAAAGACTCCCCTCTTTTGGGGGTCGGGGGAAGACGGCATAGAGGCGCTCCAGTGAGAAGGAGTAACAGCATGTTTATAAAACCCTAGAGGAAATGGAAATCATAACCCTTTCAAGGAACTTAAAATAATTAAGACTGTCTAAAATCTAGAAGCTTGAGTGCATAGTGATAGAGATTAGGTTGTAGAATAACCAGGGTCAAGGGCCACATAGCCATTTTAAACTGTTTCTGGGGCCTCACGGTGGAGCTATGGTGAGTCATGAAAGTGACTGGCTTTGAATTACACAAAGAGCAAATTGGGTTCGGAGTGGAGGAAAGAGTGAAGGAAAACAAGATCAGAGGCAGGAATCCAGTCAGACGACTGTGGTAATAATCAGCAAAGAGATGACAAGTGCCTCCTGCGTCCTAAGCACTGTGCCAGGCCCTGGTGCTGCAACGAAAAAGCCAGACAGAGTCCTTTCCATCAAAGGAAGGATGGCCTAGAGAAAGGAGAAAGCCAATTAAGCAATTCTACGATAGGAAGTGCTATGAAGGTAAGGGGCGCTATAGAACCACATATGAAGGGTGCCCAACCCGACCTGAGGAGGTCAGAAAACGTTTCTTAGGACTAATAACACCAATTATTAGAATTAATGATGGCAACTAGATGGAGAAGAATGAAGAGAGTTCAATATCAGTTTCTAGTAATATGAGCCAATCAGATTATTAAAAACAAAAATGGTGAATGAACTTTTTTAAAGCTTTTAAAATACCTTCATGAGTTTGATCCAAAAAAGTACAGAATCTTCAAAGTACAAAATTTAAGTTCAAAGTTAACATAGAAGGATAGGCAAAACCATAAGAATTTGACTTCTTATTTTGTACCAAAAAAAAAAAAGGAAATAAAAGATTCTGTCACTCCCCTTGTTAGACTACCATAAAATCTCAAAGAGTCTATAATCAAGGCACTTTATCCAGCGGTCTTGTGCAGACACTCAAAGATTCACATCAGAGTCTCAAAAGGATACAAAAGGCTGACAGTATGGAGCCTGCTTGGGATTCTGTCTCCCACTCTCTCTGCCTCCCCCGCCAAATAAATAAAAATAAACATAGAAAAGAGGGGTGCCTTGGTGGCTCAGTCAGTTAAGCATCCAACTTTGGCTCAAGTCATGATCTTGAGGGCTTGTGGCTTTGAGCCCTGCATCAGGCTCTGCACTGACAATGCGGAGCCTACTTGGGATTCTCTCTCACTCTCTTTGCCCCTCCTCTGGTCACGCTTGCTCGCTCGCTCCCTCTCTCTCAAAATAAATAAATAAACATTAAAACAAAAACAATGAAATGCCATTTCTCACTCATTAATGAGAATGACGAAAAGTCATGAATTAGACAATACGGATGTTAAGGACAGTAAAGAAATACACCCTGGTGGGGCAGTGTATGCGAGTGTCTGCACAGAGACAGGTGCACACCAACGACCTTCGTCTAGCACTGTGTGTGACAGTGAAAAACAGCAACCAATGCCAATGTCCACAGATATCCGCAAGAAATGGACAGCTACAGGATGGCTCAGTTAGACGACAAAAGACTACACAGTGATTAAAATGAACCAAAATATAAATCAATCTCTAAAATATGCTCAGGCCTTCTAGTCAAAGTGGCCCAGAAAGGTTCCATTCACTCATCACAACCTCCCTGCTCAGGACAAACAGAAAAGATACATAAAATATAAAACACACTTCAGTTCAAGACAAGATCAACGCCTCCAGAGACCATAATGGTGACGCAAAGCAGAGACCCCAGGCCTTCCTGGGCTCCACCCGCAGGCAGAAAACGACAGCCCTGGCTCAGTTTGTATACGGTAATAAATACTACGAGCGCTCCGGTGAGATGTGGATGGAGCCAGCTTAGCACACGAGGCCCAGGACTGGGTGGGACGCTTCCTGCTTGCAAAAGGCTGACAAATGGATGTTTGTCTGTACGATGCTCTACAGAAGAAGCCTACAGATAGACGCCACAGGTCTACGGCATACAGCCCAGTGCGCGCAGGGGAGGCCCAGAGGACAAAGACACAGCCTTGAGCATTTGCTTTCACACTTGTTTGTGACTTCCACCCAAAGAGAGATTATATGTGTATGTTTATACGTGGGGCGTGTGTGTCCAAAACAAAGGTTTTAGGAAACAAAATGTATCTGCTGACATTTTATATTTTAAGTACTGACTGCAATAAGTCAGTTTCATGACCCACGCTGTGAACTACACCAGCCCCAACACCAGCCTGGAACACCAAAGAAATGATATCCTCAAAAACAAGACAAGACATGAAATCAACGTGCTTCACCCGAAGCTTCAGTTCAGGACCATCATCTTAGACTCCTTCCCACTGTCTTCATGTCATCTGCACTCCCATTACTAGGATCAACATCTGATTCTAAGACAAGGGCCTTTTTTTCTCCCCAAAATAAACCAAATATTTATCATGGGTTAAGAATATAATCATGTGCAGAGAACAGCAAAAACTCATGTGCAGATGTTTAAAAACTGGCTGTCGTCACTCAATAGTCTAGATGATTTACTTGTGCACACAAGAGTCTGAATTGTCACCTAAACAACACTCAGAACCTACTAAAGGTTATAAACACCAAAACTAAATCCAAGGATTTACAGAGCAGCAAGGGAAGGTCACAGGGAAAAGAATAATAAATCTTCCATACTTTCAAATATATAAGAAATAACCATGAGAGATTCTTGAATGCTGAGAACAAACTGAGGGCTGATGGGGGTGGGGGGAAGGGGAACAGGGGGGATGGGCATGGAGGAGGGCACTTGTGGGGATGAGCACTGGGTGTTATATGGAAACCAACTTGACAATACAGTATTTAAGAAAAAAAAAAAACACTACACACAGAGTTCTCTTCTAGCTGCTAAGGAAGATACAAATATAAAGAAAAGTTTCTCAAAAAGTGTATAATCTCAGAGGGAAATCAGAGAAGACTATTAAATCACAGTACTTTACAGAAATCTACAAGTACTATAAAGTAAAGGAGCAAAGAGCTATGGAAACATAAAGACAGAAGAGATTTATTTCAGTGAAGAGAAAGAGAAAAAAAGTCACAGTATATATCAAGTTAGGCCTTGAAGGATAAACAAGATAGAGACTTACAGACTTTCTACTTCACTTAGAAAGGACCAGATGAGGGGCATCTGATGGCTCAGTCAATTATTTATCTGACTCTTGATCTTGGCTGAGGTATCATCTCACAGTTTGTGAGACTGATTCCTGCATCAGGCTCTGAGCTGACTGTGTGGAGCCTGCTTGGGATTCATTCTCTCTCTCTCTCTCTCTCTCTCTCTCTCTCTCCCTCTCCCTCTCCCTCTCCCCGGCTGGCACATGCACTTGCTGTCTCTCTCTCTCCAAAAAATAAACTTTAAGAAAAAGAAAGGAAAAAGAAAGAACAAATGAACAAACCAAATGAATAAAAATGCAGAGATAGGAATTTGCAAAGAATATGAAGGAAACTGGTTAAACTAGCCTGGCTGAGGTACAAATCACCGAAGAGAAAGAGTCCAATCCAATGTGTCTGAACTCTATTTACAGCAGCTTTTGAGGGATAGGGGTCTTTAGGAGAGAAGGATAAACACAGCACCTTATTTTTTCAGTCCAGTCTCTAAACAAATTAAGAAATGCAATAAACACATAAGTAAATAAATGATAAAAAATTACCTTTATTGCTGGTGAAGGCTAAATTGGAAGAGAACTTTTGTGTCAGTAAAAACCAACCGGGCCTGTTAACTGAACCCCACAGTGAGGCCCTTTGCCAGGTACGATCAGCACTGAACCAAGCCCACCCCACCCGATTCCCTACACGGTCCCCAAAGGCAGCCCGTTCCGTTCCACAAGCAGGAGAGGCAGGTGTATCCTGGTGTATCCTTTCCGAATTTCCCAGAATACTCACTCCATATGCTCAAGGACAGGATGAGGAAAGAGGGTGGCATGAAATAACCACTAGCGGAGCTTCTTCCGCCCAAAGGGAAACACCGGAAATGGTGAAGACGTTCCCCTCTGCTTGCACCACTGAAGACTTCTACAGAGTGACACCATGACCAAAGCCGTCCCGTGAAACACGTGACCTGACATCCTTGTAGGATGCGGCACGAAAGATGAAGAGGGTACTGACACTGCCCATGCAAGAGTAAATCAGGGCCTGAACCGTCACAACAACTAACCGTAAACAGTTCTTGGTCCCAGAGGCTGTCCTCGGTTCGTCACACGCATTAACTCAGCTCCAGGAGGGCGGAGGTAAACACGGCCTGAGAGGCCAAGCCAGACACACAGCTTATTAAGTGGCGCGCAACTCGAGCAGGGGCAGCAGCAAGGAAAAAGGCGATAGAGAGACACAGGACAAAACCTGGGCAGATCAACAGATGCGGACTTCATTAAGTCAGAGAAACTTATAGAAGAGTTTGTAAGAAAAAAATTATGCGGGTGAGAAAGCCTAAAGTCAAAGCTGGAAAGGTGGGGAGGTAAGCAAGGAAAAGTTACTACCGTTTCTCAGAAAAAAGAAGACAGTTTCATGTGACAGTATTTCTAAGAATAACTGATCACCACTGCACTCTGTAAAGACAGTCAAGGGTTCACTAGCTTCTACTGTTTGATATGGAGAAGAGGCCTGAATAGGATACGAACAAAACCTAAGACCACAAGCCAGGGTTGCCCTAACACACACCAAAACATTCGTGCCCACCAACAGCAGAGCATGATTTCAGAAGCGAGCCTGTAATGACAATGGGTTCTAGCAGCTTCCAGACTTCACAGGCTCCACTCTCCAGTGGCTACCTCCCTACTGCTACCTGCACTTCCCCTTTCCTCTTTTGATACCATGACTCCAACTCCTTCAGGTCCCAAAGACAAAGATATTTTACAGAGCTCAGTCAAGACGCTCCGAAACCCCCAGACTTCAGTGTTCCATGTGGAGAGCTGCTTAGTTAATAAACCAATACCATGTGCCACACCTACATTGTCAGAATTAAAATTAAACTGGAGGGCAGGACGGCAGAGAAGACAGCACTGACCAGACGACTCTCACCATCACTCTCACATTTTTTATTTATTTGTCCCTCTGTGGCATGTTCAAGGTAAATTCTGAAAGATGATCGTCTTGTTCACTAATTCTCTCTTCAGCTGTATTCAATCTGTTGATTACTCATCTACTGAGTTTCTAATTCCAATAGTGGTGTTTTTCATTTCTGCGAGTTCTTGTCGGCTCTTTCTCAAATCTGCCTTCATAAAAATCTTTTCCTTCTTACTCACATTTTCCACGTCTACTGGTACTGCCTGTATACTGCTATTAAATATCCCAACAGATAAAGGCTTTGTGGGTCTGATTCTACTGCTCATTACCTCAGATGCCTCTCGTTCATGGACTAGTTTTGTATTTTCATGAACTTTGTGATTCCACATTATGAGCTTGTTTATGATCTGTCGTGCCCATGGTGACAGTGTGGCCCTCCAGAAAACACCAGTGTTCACTGCTGCCGAGGGCTTCACGGCACTACCAACACAAGAGTGCTTTAAAAGAAACTCTCACCTTGAAGATTCTCAGATCACACAGGCAGCAGTGAAGCCCTTACAAATCCACACTCAGGGCCAAATGCAATACTCGGGCAACTACACATGCCCAGGATTTATAAATCTAGCATAGCATTCAGCTGACTTCCTAGAGGAGATTCATTTCACAAGAACTTCTATCACACTTCATAGCGGTTCCCACTAATGTTACTAAATACCACAATAGACAAAATAATACTTCACAAGCAAAACTGCATTTACCTAAATGTCTCACTGGTTATTAAAGGTAAATTAGAAGTTACAGCATTTGAAATGTTCTCTTACCTGTTCTAGCGCTTGGGTTTTCTCTCGCTCTGCTTTCTTCACAGTTTCCTTTGCAGCTTTGAGTGACGATGATGACACAGTTTTGACAGACATAAAATCAACAGTCATCCACGCATCTCTCTGTTTAAAAACAAAGAAAAGTAATTTCAATCTCAACTGATTACAAGTGGACAGTAAACACTGGGTAATAACAGCAGGGACTCTGGCGGCACCGAATCCTGGATCAAATCCTACATTTGTCTAACTTGACGCAAGTTTTTTAGTCTCTCTATGCCTTAGTCTCTCTCCTGTAAAGCAGAATAAATTCCTACCTTTTAGGACTATTGCAAGGAGTAAACAAGAAAAAGAGATTTAAGGAGCCTAGTCCGGGGCCCGAGAGGTACTCAAACACCAGCTCTTTCCACCCCTCCTCGCTGTGGCTCACTGCATCCCCACACAGGCAAACCACAGCCCCTAACTTGTGAAGTGTCCACTCTAAATACTGCTGAGAGGCGTGATGACAGGTGTGGTAAGGGCAACCACTCAGTGGAGAAGGGTCTGATACAGGTACCTGCACAGGGCGCCCGGCACAGGAGAGCAAAGTGCCGCATTTCTAGAAACAACTGGCAGCAGGAAACCCTCTGTGGGACTCGAACAGAGGGAAGTACTCACTTTCTCATAGAAGAAGAATGGAAGTCTACAGACTAAGCAAACAGCACCACTGCCAGAATTATCTGTAAAAGTATACCGTTTTCAAAGTTGCTTTGGGAGAAAGTTCATTTTTCTCCCAAAGCAATGAGAACCATCTGTCATTTCAGCATCCATCTATTCTTAGAAGTTCACACATCTTTCTTTAAAATTGGGTGACTTACCTGAACAACGTGGTTGCCTTCTTTCTCCGAATTTTCACCTTGCACTTTCCAGGCCTTCTCTCTGTCAGGCGCCTGGGACGGGACAGCCTCAACCCACTCGTCTTCAGAGCTCTGGGAAGAGTCGGCATGGAAGAGAAGTTCTCAGACATGCACACTTCCATGTGAAAATGTGGTGCTGTTGTTAAACAGTAAATTCAGTTTCCGAGAGAAAATTCTTAAGAGTATACTTCCCCTTTAAAAAGCTACACTGAAAATCTGAACAAAGAACATGTAAACCCACTCTTCTGGGACAAGCCCATGAAACACCAAGACCATTTTCACGCCAGGGGAAAGCGGAAACAAGAGATTGGAAGTGACAGCAGAGAACTCACTTCAACATAGGGCTGCAGTTCCACCAACATTAAGTGATACCGACATCTTTGTTTAACTAGAACAAGGGAAACGAACACCAAAGTAAATGACTGTGTCTCTAAGTTTCCAATTTTTAGATTTCCCTAGGTCTAAAAATGCAGAGATCGCAGTGAACAGCCAGGCTGGTGAGGCACTTGTTACTGTGTTTAAATACCAGATTATTAAATCAGCTAAGAAGTATTTAGCCAACATCCCCTATGTGCTCAGCATCATGCCAAATTCTGGGTTTTGTTTTCCACAAATACATCAATCAACTCCTTCTATGTTAAGTACTGTAACAAGTACGTTCACATATGTTCTCAAGCTGACTCCTTAAAACAACCCTACATAAAATACTATTTGGTTTAACAGATAAGAAAAAGCTTCCCAAAATTAGGTAACTTGCCCAAGTTCCATGGTATCCAAGTAGGAGAACCAGAATAGAAATCTAGATGTGTCTGGCTCTAAATCTTCTCTTTGGAGCTGTATGGGGGAAGGGTGGGAAATGTCCGACCCACCGTCCAACAAAATTATTTATACCTGTGCCTATCCTTACCTCCTGTGAATTCTTCCTGTTCACGGCGGGTCCTCCTCCAAAGTTCTTAGACCCAACCATTCCTGCCCCTCCAGGACCACGCACCATCAATTATCTCCTTCTCTTGTAGCCTGTCCTACAAGAGGCACTCTATTGGCCTAGAAATACGCTCAAGCATTTCCCATCCTGTGTGTGTGCGTGTGTGCGTGTGTGTCTCCCTCTCGCGGCAATTTATCTTCCATTTTCTACTGTGAGCCAAATTTTTGAAAGAGTAATCTGTACCCACTGCCTTCACATCCTCACTTTGACCCAGTTCTCAAAACTCTACAATATGGCTAATGTTCTCATTAATTTACTAAAGTTTCTTCAGAGGTCACCGCTGGCTGCCACTTTGTCCAATGCAGCAGAACGCTTTTGAATACAACTCTTGACAACTCAACTTCCTTGACTTCTAAGACCTTTCGCAGTTCTGCTTCCATTCTTGCTTGCTTCTCCATTTCCCTTATGCACTTTTCCTCCTTTGCTCAGTCCTTAAGTATCAATGCTGTGTGGGGTTCCTTTCTTTGCACACTACATTTTTTAATCTCTAAACACTCCCCTTTGGCCATTAAATCCACTCTCATGCCTTGTGATGATATCTTTCAAACTGGTCTACCCTAGGAGTGGGTGATTTAACCCACCATATTTGGACACCCTGCTGAACTCAATAAGCACAAAAAATACACCCATCGTCATCTTCCACAAAACCCGTTCCTCCTTCTGTATTGCTAAACTGAATTACCTGGTACCACCAACCATCCCCTTACCCAAGTCAACAATCTCAGGATCAACTTACCCCTCCCATCAAAACCTAGTATTTTCATTTCCAAAATATTTTCTCAAATACATCATGCCTATCATGGGAGCCCACTTCCAACCCTGGCCACAGTTGATCGGTTCAAAGGTAAGATTCTGACCCAATTTGCATCAATCTGAGCTCCTCTCCAGGAATTTGAAATCAAGACTAAATGTGGCTGCTCTAAACTAAAGGAACTGGAAATGCATTGGCAGAAGCCATTTCTGCCATGAAGATAGAATTCAGCAAAAACTGATCTGTTACCAAGAAAAAAAAATTAAACTCAGAGAAAAATAAAAATGGAAGATGGCAAGATGACTCATAAAAGCATTTCAACTCTAGATCCAGCCATTCCTGAAGCCCAGCTGCATTCCCACACCTAGAGACTTCTGTACTCTAATAATAAAGTGCCCCCCGGGTGCCTGAGTGGCTCAATCAGCTAAGCATCCAACTTCAGCTCAGGTCATGATCTCGCAGTCTGTGAGTTCGAGCCCTGCATCAGGTTCTGTGCTGGCAGCTTGGAACCTGGAGCCTGCTTTGGATTCTGTATCTCCCTCTCTCTGCCCCTGCCTCGCTCTCACTGTTTCTCTCAAAAATAAATAAATATTTTTTAAATTAAAAAAAATTAAGTGCCCCCCTTTTCTGGATAAGCCAGTTTGTTTGATACCTGTTACCTGCAACCAAGAGCCCAAACTAATACACGCCCCTCCTGTCCATCCTTGAAGCATCCCAGGTCACATCTTATCTCACACCCGGACAACTGCAATAACCTGGACCCTGGTCCTTTCTGCTCCCCTTCCTCTTCCAACCAACTCCCCCCTCCCCCGACACATCTAGAGTAACAGAAAGGGCACATCTGGCCTCTTCTATGACTCGCTGTCACAGAGCTCCTCTTCTTTCTTACCAACGGAACCCAATCTTATTGGGAGACCTAATGGGCCTCCCTTGCTGGAAAGCAAAGACTTCTATGTCCAAAGACACTGAAAGGAAGGTATTATGTGGGACTTTCTGGAAGTCAAATTACGAAAGAGAGAGTCCCCTTTCTTGTTCTCTGGATGAAGAGGTAATGCTGTAAAGACGCAGGATGGGCTCAACAGCAGAAGCCTTAGTTCTGGAAGACCACACTAGACCCAGGGTGCCTACCTGAGTTCTTTCAGGAGACAGAAGAGTTAACTATCTTGTTTAACCAATGGCTAAAATCTGAGATATTCTGGTAAACGCAACTGAACCTAATTAGAGGGCACACTTCCTACTGAATAGTGTCAGAGCTCTTGGTTTAGGCCCTATCAACTCTTACATTTTCACCTCCGTCTACTCCACTCTTGTTTTCTAATCTAGGGCTATCAAATTGCTTGTAGCTATATTTACCTACATATATACAAACACACATACACATTTTCTCACTTCCATGCCTTTGCTCTCACAATTCCTTGTGCACAAAGTGCCAATGCCTTTCTGCGCCTGGCTAAATCTTAGTCATTATTCATGGCTCAACTCAAATATTATCTCCCCAATAAGTTTGCAGATGAAATCCTCTTTCCCTTAATAATCGTTCTGTCTTGGCGTCAGGAGATTACATACTGAAATTATGTACCTATGTATCTAGCTACAAAATGAGTTTTCCACAGGCCTGGAAAACAACCACCATATTTTTACATTCCCTGTGTCTATACCAGCGTCTGACGAAGAGCTGGCGTTCAATAAAGGTGCACTAAAATTACCTAAACCCTCTTTTCCTATCTTTCCAACAGCCCTAGTCAGAAACTTTAACTGGCAGCCGGCACTCGAGCATTAAATACCAGGCGCTGAAGGGAAGAAGCGCCAGTGACACACCTGGTATTCTTGGTACTCATTCACAGAACAGTGACGCCTGGACCCAAGTGTACAACTCGCCCGCCTCCACCCCCTGTCTGATAACCCTGTTTCCCACTTCCACCGCTGTAGTCAGCCCCGCTTCCGCGCGGCTGCTGTTCATGCTGCGACCTCAATCCTTCTGCAGATCTCAGCTCTCCAATCCGCCATTTTACCTTGAACTCCTACCCCATCAAGCGTAATGAGCCTCCTGACCTCACACAGCTCCCAGAAGCCTTGCTCTCCCGCGCGGCGCTCACAGTAACCAAACCCCAGAGGCGGCAAAGGGCTACCAGCAAAAATCAAAGGGCCTCGAGGACTTCCGCCTCTGGCCGTGACTAAATAAATAGCATCGAAACAGAAATCCAAAGATATAGAAATAATCATGGAAAATGTTTAGAGCTGTTTTCAGAACACTGAATCTCAGTCATACAGGGCTGTATCCCTCAACAGGGAAACAACTGAGGCGAATGTTACCATTACGATCTCCACAGCTTTTTGCCTCAAAGCACTTTCTAGACCAAGGCATAAGGAAGGGTTAACTCCAGCTGAATATGACATCTCACTGCGCTAAGGAAACAGAATTTGTGTTACATGATTTTGCCCAACTAAATGCCAACGTTACGCATTCTGAGCATGTGTACAGTGGGCAAGACTCAGCCACAATAATCAGGTTAGGCACATGAAGTGCATTTTTCACTTATGATATCTTTAATTTACAGTGGGTTTGTTGGGACATCACCCGACAGTAAGTCAAGAAAGATCTATAATTACATTAAACATAAATGATCTAAACCACTGCTATCCACAAGAATTTTTCTATACCTACACGGCCCAATACAGGGGCCACTAACCTAGCCACAAATGATCACTGAATACTTAAAATATTTGGCAGGGCACCTGGGTGGCTCAGTTGGTTAAGCATCCGACTTCAGCTGAGATCATAATCACATGGTTCGTGGGTTTGAGCCCTGCGTCAGGCTCTGAGCTGTCAGCACAGAGCCTGAAGCCTACTTCAGATTCTGTGTCTCCCTCTCTCTGACCTTCCCCTGCTCGCTCGCTCTCTCTCTCTCTCTCTCTCTCAGAAATAAATAAAACATTAAAAAAATTTTTTTTAAATCTGAAGACAGTTTATGAATATGAAAGTTATCTATAATAAAAATACTACTAGAGATAAAAAGAAACATTTCACAAAAATATAACAGTCAATTCATCTAGAAGATATAAGAGTCCTAAATGTGTAAATACTTTAAAAACTTCAAAATACTTAAGGCAAAAACTGACAAAACTGAAAGAGAAATAGACAATAATCTACTATGGTTAGATTTTAATACTGCTCTTTCAGTAACTGATAGAAGAGAAAAACAGAAAATCAATAAAAACACAAAAGACTTAACACTATTAATCAACTTTCCCAAACTGGCATTTATAGAACACTATACCTAACAACAGTTGAACTCACACTTGTTTCAAATACACATGGAATTTTCATCAAGATAGATCACAGGCTGGGCCATAAAGTTAGTTGTGGTAATTTTTTTTTTCAAAGTCCAAGATTCAAAGGATATTTATTGTTAGCCTATACATATGAGGGTTTTCTTCCTTTTTTTGAGTACAGTTGACACACAATGTTACATTAGTTTCAGGTGTGCAACTTAGTGATTTGACAAGTTTATACGTTACGCTGTACTCACAATGTAGCTACCATCTGCCCCATTACATTACTTATACAGCACTTCCTATGTTCCTTATTCTCTACTATGGATTCCCATGACTTACTCACTTCATAACTGGAGACCTATATCTCCCTCTTCCATTCACCCATTTTACCCAAACCTCCATACCCCTCCCCTTTGGGAACTATCAATTTGTTTTCCATATTTATAGTTCTGATTCTGCTTTTCGTTTATTTTTTAGATTCCATTTATGAGCAGAAATGGCCCTCTCTCTGCCCCTCCTCCATTTGTGCGCACGCACGCTCTCTCTCAAAAATAAACATCAAAAATGTTTTAAAAGATTAAAAAAAAATCAATAACACCAAATGGCAATTCTTTGAACAGATTAATAAAACTGATAAACCGCAAACTATAGTGACCTAGAAAATGAAAAGAAAATAGAAAAGTGCCAAAATCAGGAAGGAAAGGGGGACTGAACCACAGATTCTACAGACAATAAAAGGACAATCGGGAATATCATAAACAACATTATGACAAAAAAATTCAATGATTTAAATTGGATATGCTTTCCAGCCTCACGTGGACCCTTCAACACAACACAGCAATTAATCTGCTTTTTATTACCTAAACAATGCTGTAGAAATCTACCCTATCTCCTTAATCCTTCATCCCACTTCTGCTCTGGAATCATCCTCTCAGAAGATTTGCTCAGAGGGTTTCATCTGCTATTTCACCAAGGAAACAATCAACAAGCAGAAACACTCAATAATCTGCTCCCTTCTCCCCACACCTCCTCTTGATATTTTTGTACTTGTATCCACCTTGATAACGCCCTCCTAGCTCACATGAGAAGGTGTTCCTATTCCTAAGCAAAGCTTACCCCTTTCCCTGGGTCCCTACTCCAACTTATCCTCCTCAATAGTATTTATCTGTCTTTCACTAAAGACGTTTTCTCAAAAATAAGTCACAATAGCCCAGACTCCTCTAACTATCCATCTGTCTTTCCTTCCCCCTCGCTGTCAGTACAAACTTCTCTTTCATTCTCCATTCTACTCCAATGCGGTGCAGCCATTGACCACTCATTCAAACAATTCTCTCTAAGGTACAGTTACACAACTTATTACAGATGTAAATATGTACATATTGTATGTTGCAACAAAAAGACTTACCTGTACAGTTGACCCTTGAATGACAAGGGGATTACAGGTGCTGACTCCCCACAGCCAAAAATCCACATACAACTTTTGACTCCCCAAAAATATAACTACTAATAGCATACAGTTTGCACTGGAAGACTTACTGATAACATAATCAGCGAACACGTATTTTATATGTTATATGTGTTATACACCGATTCTGACAATAGAGTAAGTTAAAGAAAATGTTAAGAAAATCATAAGGGAGAAAAAATACACTACTATACTGTATTTATCTAAAAAAACATCTGCTTATGGGGCATCTGGGTGGCTCAGTCGGTTGGGCCTCCGACTTCGGCTCAGGTCATGATCTCACTGCTCGTGGGTTCAAGCGCGGCACTGGGCTCTGTGCTGACAGCTCAGAGCCTGGAGCCTGTTTCGGATTCTGTGTCTCCCTCTCTCTATGACCCTCCCCCACACTCGCTCGCGCGCTCTCTCTTTCTCTCTGTCTCTCTCTCTTCCTATCAAAAGTAAACATTAAAAATTTTTTTTTAAAACATCTGCTTCTAAGTGGATGCACAAAGTTCAAACCCATGTTTTTCAAGGGGCAACTGTATTTCTAGGAAAGAACAAAGAAACATGACAGGCAACGTGGCTCTAGGAGGAGGCAAGTATCCTCAATCCAATTACCTAGGTGTTTCCTCCGCCTGGCAGGCCCATCCCCACAAGACAGAGGTTCTTTTTTTTTTTTAAATAAACACTTCCAGAAAAATATTTATTCAAACCAAGACTCCACACATATACAGTACACTCAACCAATAAGCAACAAAGTAAAATTTCAAATGCCTAACACAGAACCAAATCATTCACTTCTGTTGCGGGTTTGGAGAGATGTGGGGTAATTATCCCACTTATTCCCTCCTGCTACATCCTATGATTCTCATAATTAGTGAAGCTTGAATATAAAGGTTAAGTTTTCTCGAGGCTCCGAGAAATCTTTTTGCTTTATGTCTTATTTCTCTAAGGAGCTCTATCTCATTCAGTGGATTCAATATTAAGTCATCTAGCTGAGACACTCTCATCATTTGGGTTCCGGTTCAACTAGTCCTCCCTTTCCCCCTTGTGATCAAGCTGTATAATAACTGGACTCTGCATTGTTTCCGAATGTCCAAATCTTCAGGATAACCCAATTTCAACAAAAAGAGGACTCTGAATTCTTCTTTCTTCATTAGGACAGAGATTCTTAACCTGTGATCTCTGCGTAAACCCCAGGGAGTTTGATAAATCCCAGTGAAATAAACAATTTTGATTACAAATTTCTTTTTGGAGAGAGGATCACTCACTTCTTTCAGGTTCTCAATAGGATCAGCAACTCAATCCACAGGTGTGGAAACACGGTTTCTATCTTCTTCCAGCTCTAAGACTTTCCAACTCACTTTGTCCTCAATTATGTAACACACTTTTTTCTACAGAACATAAATACACTACAAAATATTCTGGCTAACTGACCAAAGTGCCCAGCTGTATTTCTCACTGTGAATTAACAAGCTGCATTCTCACGTAAGATAGGCTCCCACGAGCCACGAACCATCTCAGGGTGTACCGCCACACACTCAGGTTCGGAAACCGCAAGACGGCCAGGCGGGAATAGGGGATTCAGCTGCATACACCACCCTCCGAAGATGAGACCCAGGAAACCAATTTTCCCTCAACATCTCTAGCCCTTAGCTCTCTACGCACCATGTACCTCTTTCTTCCTGAAAATAAAAGTGAGAGGCTTTCCCTTCTTCTCTGAGTCCTTGCATCCCAGAACTGGATACAGACGTAGCAGGGCCACATTCTCTTCCTTCTGACCCCAAAGATCAATATATTAACGTGTCCTATTTTAAAGACTTAATTCTTAATTTCTATTTTAAAAAATAAACAAAGCAAAAGACTCTTAAATGTCTCAAACTCTTTACCCTTATAAGTACAGTACTGTTCTTTCCCAGCATCTTCTTCCAATTTCCAGCAACTGCTACTGACTGGCCCTTGGCCCCACCTGGCTCTTCAGTGTTAACACCTCCCTTCGTTCTCAGCGTCCCTACATGATTCATCCATTCTCACGGCTTCATGGAGCAATGACTCCATCCTGTCTCCATCCTCCAACCTTTCTCTGTAACCTAAGATCCATGTTTCCAGCCTTTCCTGGACATCTCGAAGTCAATGTTTCCCAGGCATTTTCATACCCTAGCTAGTAATATTTTTTAAGGTCTCGTATATTTTAAGTTCCTAAACATCATTCCTTTAGATACGATTTCCTCAGGCAGCTGCTTTGGTTAGCTTTAATACATACTTACTGATGAACTATCAGTTGACTCATTGCTTTTTTCATACTTCTGTTTCTTACTCTTTTTTTTCTTCTCTTTCTTTACTTTTTTTGAGTGCTTATCTTTTTTCTTCTTTTTCTTTACAGAGTGTTCCTGTAAATAATCATTTTAAAGAGGTAAGAAATGAATTTCATCTTATCTTACTTTAAAACAAGAGGGAGAAAAAAATCTCTATTCCAAAAACCACATTTTCATGAAATGAAACAACAAATACGATAAAATAAAATCCTCTGAGAAACTTTAACAAGTATCTATTATATTCGCCCCACAAATAAGTCATACAGATGAGATACCTTATCAGGAAAATATGGGGGAAGTTTCAGTTTTATTTGTGGATTCATCTGACATATATAATCAAATAAATACATTTATACAAAAACTGTGTGCACGCACACGCACACACACACGTACATATATCCTTCTACGGTCCCAAAAGAATTTATAGAAGATTATTAGGGCATATAAAATAGAAGAACCTGGGTGGCTCTGTCACTTAAGCATCTGACTTCAGCTCAGGTCATGATCTCACAGTTCATGAGTTCAAACCCTACGTCAGGCTCTGTGCTGACAGCATGGAGCCTGCTTGGGGTTCTCGCTCTCCCCCTTCCTCTGTCTCTCCCCTAGTCACACACCCTCTCTCTCTCCCACTCTCTTTGTCTCTCAAAATAAATAAAAAGATAAGCTTAAGTGTGTGTGTGTGTGTGTGTGTGTGTGTATAACAAGACAGAAAAAATCAAAACTATGGAAAGAGGAAACAAAAATTCATACAAAAAATATGACATTAAGCTTAAAATGCATGATTTTTTAGATCCATAAGCTTGATACAAGTGAGGCAGAAATTTGCTAAGCTTTCTACCCATCGACTCAAATAACAAAATCTGTCTGTTATAATGTTCAAAATATTAAAATATATTATTTCTGCCACGGAGATAAAACCAGTCAGTAACGCCAACTATGTGATACCCATTCTGTAACTTTTGAAAATAGTAAAAACAGTATATAAAGTTGCTCTTCCACTATTAACTTGAGTAAGAGCAAAAAAAAAAAAGATCTATTACATCAAGCAAACCTGTTAATACTCACCTGTGAGAACTGTTCAATTCGCTCATTCACATCAGGTAGCATCCATGTATCCTCACCCCGCAGTCGTTTAAGTTCTTTACGCCGTTCTTCCTTTTCAAAATTGGCTTTAGCCTAAAACAATGAAAAAAGAAAAATTAACAACTGATCTAACTGCTTTTCGCAAAAAGAGTAAAACAAAATCATTTTCCACTTTCATATAAAGGTTCATAAATCACTGTTTGTCCCCTGCCAGGAATTTGCTTCAACCAAAGTATAAGAAAGTTAAAAAAACAAAAAACAAAAACAAAAACAAAAAAGACCAAACAAAAAGCTCTCCTTCCACATTACCAATCACATCACCAATCACTAGTGAATCAGAGACACAACCCTGGGATCCATAGTAGAACCCCTCCCCGCCCCCACACTCCTTAGCTCCCTACCTTAAATAGGACTTGATTCTCCTTTTCCTTAACCATCCCACGGCTACTGCCTGGGACTTCAGTGACTGTTAGGAGAATGGCCTTGCCTTCATTCCGCAACGCCATATCCTTCTACCCATGCCCCCAAAACGCTTCAGGAAGAATCACCTTTCTAAAAACAAATAATCACACCCGAAAAACAAACAACCCAGTGAAGAAATGGGCAGAAGACATGAACAGACACTTCTCCAAAGAGGACATCCAGGTGGCCAACAGACACATGAAACGATGCTCAGCATCGCTCCTCATCAGGGAAATACAAATCAAAACCACACTGAGATACCACCTCACACCAGTCAGAGTGGCTAAAATGAGCAAATCAGAGGCCTCTAGATGCTGGCGAGGATGTGGAGAAACGGGCACCCTCCTACACTGTTGGTGGGAGTGTAAACTGGTGCAGCCCCTCTGGAAAACAGTGTGGAGGTTCCTCAAAAAATGAACAATAGAACTCCCCTAGGACCCAGCAATAGCACTGCTAGGAATTTACCCAAGGGATACAGAAATGCTGATGCATAGGAGCACACGTACCCCAATGTTCACAGCAGCACTCTCCACAATAGCTAAAACTTGGAAAGAGCCTAAGTGTCCATCAACGGACGAATGGATCAAGAAGATGTGGTTTATCTATACCACGGAATACTCCATGGCAATGAGAAAGAATGAAACCTGGCCATGTGTAGCAACATGGATGGACCTTGAGGGTGTTATGCTGAGCGAAATAAGTCAGGCAGAGAAGGACAAATACCGTATGTTTGCATGTATAGGAGGATTAGGAGGAACTTAATAGAGGACCATGGGGGAGAAGAAGGGGAAAAATAGTTGGGGAGAAGGAGGGAGGCAAACCATGAGAGACTCTTGAATGCTGAGAACAAACTGAGGACTGATGGGGGTGGGGGAGAGGGGAAGGGGGGAGATGGGCATGGAGGAGGGCACCTGTGGGGATGAGCACTGGGTGTTATATGGAAACCAACTTGACAATAAACTATTTGTAAGGAAAAAAAATAAAAAATTAAAAAATAAAAACAAATAAAAACAAATAATCATGTTGCTACTTTGTATTTATCTTTTAACAATGAGTCAAATAAAATAAGTTCTTCCTAGGACAGTTACTGCTGCCTTTTCATTCTCTCTCCAAACTCCAAAACTGGTTTTGGTCCTTCTCAAACTCTGTGGATATCTCTACTACAAAAAAGTTTTTTAAGGCTATTTATTTATTTTGAGAGAGAGAGAGCATGAGCAGGGGAGGGACTGAGAGAGAGGGAAAGAAAGAACCACAGGCAGGCTCCACACTGCCAACACAGAGCCCGAAGTGGGACTCGAATTCACGAACCCATGAGATCATGACCTGAGTCGAAAACAAGAGTTGGATGCTTAACAGACTAAGCCATGAAGATGCACTTTTTACATTAAAGTTTATCTTGGCTTACGAACCTACTCCCTCCAAAAACTGCCTGAAAAATCAAAAAAGTAAGGAAGAAGAATATTTATTATACATGTATGTTACATATGCTGAAATCAGAGAACAAGACCAACCATTCACCTGCCCAAGAGTAATGCCTACTCCTCCCCGTAACATCCAGCTATGGTCATCACGCCTTTCCCCCTCCCAGCTCCTGCTCATGTGTATTTATTTAAAAGTCTTCCATCTTAAGCAAAAACAAAAACCCTCACTTGTAGCCCATGCTGCTCTCCAGGTGCAACTTTTCCCCTTCCTTGCCACACTTCTTACATCTTGTCGGATAGTACAGTGTGCTTGGTCCATTCTTTACAGGTAACCTCTGTGCATCTCAATCTTGGTGAGAAACACCATGTTTCTTAACCCTTTTCGAGTCTCTCCTGTCAATCCTTGCACGGGTCAGTAAGGATTTACAATAACCCTGCAACTGGTACCAACAGTAACACAAGAGCGTCGCGCACACCGTCTGTTGCAACGTGCCTCACGTGTGGTTCTGAAAACGGAAATCGTTATTTCAGAGACGAGAGGGGCGAGGACTGAGGCTGTGAAACGCGCCGGGGGAGCCATGAGTGGTGGGGTCCCTCAGAAGGACGCCGCCCCCGTAACGAAGTGATGGAAATAATCAAGAATGAAGGAATTAAAAATAAGTGACCTCAGGAAAGAAACAGGTCTTCCAAAAAACGGAATGAGCAACTGAAGACTGCCAACGCATGGAAGGAGGCGGGAGACGGCCAAGAGCGTTTGCGCGTCCCGAAGGGAGACCCGCACCCAAAGAAGTGGCGAGGAGGAGGGGAGCCAGAGGCCCAGTTCCCAGGAACCGTCCACTCCCGATTCTAAACGACTCCCAAAACCCCAAAGCGGGGATACCTGGCGCAACACCTCGGCCCTGGCAAGCCTGGTCTGTTCTTTCCGTTCTTCGATACTCCTCTCACTTTCAAATCTGCCACTGGCAGCCGCCATTGTTGTTGTCGTCGTAAAAGTAGGAAGGCGGCACCAAAACCTCAGTTTACGACTGTCGTAATTTAATAAACAAAGGAGGGGGGACTTCCCGCTTCTCCACCAACGGAGCATGCGCGTAAGTGACCGGCGCCGAAGGCTCAGGTGCTGACGCCGGCGAATGAGTGAGGGTCTGCGCTCGTTCGCAAATTGGAATCTCCTCGAGCAGAAAAAATGTCCCTGTGCATTTGTTACGCGCTTGGCGGGACACCGACGGCATTCCCCTCGATTTCCTATTAAAACCTATACGTTAGAAGCTCATAGAAGTTAAGTCCCTGCATCTCGAAGTTTTCCACCCAAGTGCCCTTGTGAGCAAAGATTCCCTGCGCAGGAGGGATGGCCTGAAAGGGGGGCAGGAAAGACCAGTTGCTGTGAGGTTTCAGTGCTTTGATAAAATTCAAGAAAAAAAAATTTTTTTTTTTTTTTTTTAATAAAAAGGAGCCTTACACCTACTTACTAAGAGTACGCGCTGTGTACTTGGGAAGATCAACCCAGAACAGCCGGCGTTGAGCCCTATTATAGCAAAACTATTGGATCTTAAAGGAAAAACAGTATCTGGAGAATACAGGCAAAAAGACTGATTCAGTTGTTTGTTTGTAAATGTAAGTGTGGCATCGGTTATCAAATACACTTTTTAGTTTCTACAAGGTTCTGAGGACAAAAAAATAGGTGATCCCCTATGACTTAAATAAATAGGTGTTTTTAAATCGTGTTCACTTGTTCATTGTCCCTATATACCATTAAATAAAAGCAATAATTTCACCTATAAAATAAATAATGATAATAAAATGGAATTCATGCATGGGGTGTGTGTGTGTGTTATATAACAAATAGAATGAAGAAAGATCAATTCAGTTTTAGGAGAAAGGAAATCAGATGCATACTGGATTTATGAGGTCATCTTTCTCTTCCAGTTCCTCTCCTCTTCATTTCCTTCCTGTTCAGGTCAGCCCCGAAATCATCATGGTGTGGGCTGAGCAAGGTGTGCATATGTACGGGGCAGTAGGAAGGAGTGCTCCCAGCACAAATGGGTGGAGAAGGGTGCTCCTATGGCAGAGGGAGAGCTACGAGCAGGGTGTCAGGGCCCAAACAGGTGAGGGAGGAGTGAATCCATGTGGGAGGGTGGCCTGCTTTCCACGTTGGAGCCTGAGTGGGCTCCTAGCACAGGATGTCAGGGCTTGAGTGGGGTGAGGAGGGCCTCCAGGCGAGGAAGGGGACTATGATGGCAACAAATACTGGTTACATCCTGGATAATTCCACAAAGAAGTTAATATAGTAGCTTTATCGCTGTTGTGGAATGGAATTTCAAATATGGAAATGAAGGGGGCGCCATGTTGAACCATGGGTCTTGATTTCAGCTCAGTTCCCAGGGTTGTGGGATTGAGCCCTGGTGGGGCTCCTTGGTGGGCGTGAAGCCTGCTTTGGATTCTCTCTCCCTTTGCCCCTCTCCCCCACTCATGCTGTGTCTCAAATTTTAAAAATACAGTAAAACCTTGGATTGTGAAAAACTTGTTCTGCAAGCGTTCTGCAAGTGTTCCGCAAGATGAGCAAACATTTCTAATCAATTTTAACGTGATAAATGAGCAATGTCTTGCAATATAAATAATATGTGATGCCAAACATCACATGATCACAACTGAGCCAATGGTTCTCTCTCTCTCTGCGGGACTGTGGGTGATCATCTCCCATGCTCGGATGCTCAGTCTCAGGCTGCAGTGTTTGGCAGAAATCTGATTTTTCAGAATGTTGGAAGGAGCTCACAAGTGTCACTAGTGTATTTTTTGTGACTTTAAAGCATCTATGGACAGTCCTTGGCTTTTCTGTACAAGATTAAGCTTAGGAATGCTTTGTTTCATTCTAGATCACTAGATGGGTTCCTTGTTAAAGTTCTACAAAAAGAAAAGGATTCTACTGAGCCAATAGACAGCAGTGATTCCCATTAGTGATAGTGAAAGTCGTCCTACACAAAAACCCTCCTCTCTCATGTCTCCCTCACACCAGCCATGAAGGTTTCAAAAGTAAGTGCAGATTAGTTTGTTTATTTTCCCTTATATTTTGTATTTTCTTTACTCTTTTTTATATTATATTACAGTATTGTAATCATTTTTATATGGATATTTTTGGGTTGTGGAACACATCATCTGAGTTTCCATTATTTCTTATGGGGATATTTGCTTTGATATACAAATGCTTTGGATTACAAGCATGTTTCCGGAACGAAGTATGCTCACAAACCAAGGTTTTACCGTATATGAAAATGAAGCAAACTCTAATGGACACTGTGGTGTTGAATTGGAGTTGGAGGTATCTATAAGCACTCATGTTGTTGGTTTTTATAGTTAGATATAGAAATACAGACATTTCTGTGTATCTATATCACCTGTCTCCCCAGCTCTGTCCATTAAGAGGACCTGGGAACAGCAAAACCCGATGTCAGTGACCATGTCTAATGCCCAGATCTTCGCTTTGACCATTTTGCGGTTTACCTGAGCCCTGTGCTCCTGAACACAACTGTTGTTTTAGAGGTCAGGGGTAAGAATCCACCTACGCATTTGTGTTCCAGGAAATGGCTTACTGTAAAGAACCATCCTCCCCATGTGATTCAGATAAGACTTGCTCATGGCCTCCTTATTTACCATGACAAAACCCTACAAAGTGTCACCAAATTCCCTTTTTTTAAACAATAATAAATGATTAGCTGAACTGTTTGTCCCCACTTGCCAATCTGCACAAAATACCCACTAGGCTGACTTGACCAAATTTAAGTCAGGCCTCTCCCCTCTCCATAGGTCTCTGGACTCTTACTTGTTTCATTCCATTGCTTTGACTTTCTTCCTTGGATTCCTTTTGGCTCTTCCTTGACTCTCATCTCTACCTATCACTTCCAAACTCTTTTATTCCCTTCATTTCTGTTAGATTTTTTCCTTCGCTTTTCTTCTTCCTCTGCTTTCCTTATGATATTTTCCAGATTACCTCTTTCTGAAATGTTCCTTTGAGTTCTGATTTTCTCCAAAGTCCTTTGAGCCTCCTTTTTATGGCTTTTTTGTTTCCTACTGCTTGTTTACAACAGTGAATTACTATTTTCTTCTATTTTATAGCTATATTTCTCCATATATCATTCTCTACCAACATGATAGTCATATTATTCTATTTTTTCCCTTTACAATATCCTATATGACATTTCACCATAATCCATTTCTGTGAGATAGGTTATCTAGGAATTTTAGAAGGGTGTGTGGGGCCAGGATTACTTTTCACGGCTCTAGGGTACCTTCTATCACTGTTGCCATGACATGAAAAAATGTGGTTTCCCTGTCTTCACCAGCTTTGCCTCAGGTTTTTATATCCATTCTCCTACACCTCTTCCAGTACTATCTGACCCTTCTGCCTCCTTTACCAAAAGAGTTCTTGCCCTGATCAGTATGTGTTCTATTATCAGAAGCTTCTCCTCTATGTTTCCTGGGAGAGCCTTGAGTACCCAGCCTTCTCAGCTCACCTTCTACTTCAGCCTCTTTGTACTCATTTACAGATGGGACTATGTGAAGCCCTTCCTACGTTCAACTATTCCACCACCCTGCGTTGGATGCCCTGATGTTGAAATGAGCACTTGTTGCTGATTTCAGAGTCCACGGGTCTTAAGATCTACTTGTACATCCTGACTTGGCTCATCTATGGGCCCAACCCTCTCATTCCCGTTGAGATCAAGCCTTCTGGACATTCTTTCTCCATCGTTTCTAAACACACATCCATATACACGCTTGAATTTTCTAAATCTTAAAAAGTTATCTGTAGAGTGTTTTTGTGTTTCCCTTATACCTCCTTGGCTTCAAAAAATTCTTTCTTAGCATTTCTAAACTTCATTATCACCCATATGTACTAATTATATACTGCGAGTTTCCTTGCTTACCAATGTTTCCCTCTCTTTTCAAAATACATTTTGTTATTACACAAAACTACAACAATATGTTTTCCACTGTAAAGAATCCTGATATAAACCCTCCCTCCCCGCTAGGAAGCACATTGCTGACAAGGCATTTTTGCCAACAAACAAACAAACCTGTGAATTCAATCCACCTTCTAGGTCTAACTCGTATATTGAAAACACAGGAGCTAGAGAAACAAGTTAAGTGACGTCACACAGAAGTGATCCAGCAAGTCCAGAATTTTACTAGACAGGTTATAGATCCTAGAGACCATATAGCAAGCTACATATCTCTTCCTCATTCCTTTTCACAGCAGCACAGCATCCTATTACAGGAATTTATTCATTCATTTACGGCCTATTTTCCCCCATCAAGAATATGTCTGTTTCAGATTCTGTGTCTCCCTCTCTCTCTGGCCCTTCCCTGCTTGTGCTGTCTCTCTCTCAGAAATAAATAAAACATTTAAAAAATTAAAAAAAAAGAATAGGTTTTATTACAGCAGAGATTTTAGTCTACTCTTTTTTCAGTGCCGACAACAATGCCTACCATAAACACATGTTACTTTGTTTTCTTTTTGTTTTTGTCAGGAGAATTTCAGGGCATGTGGTTGGTCTGCTAGAGGAACCCCCACTGATGATCAGGACTGTAGGTTGCGGGGGGGGGGGGGGGGGCGGGGAGGGATGCTCTCAGGTCAGCCACAGGGCATGAGGTGGGGGCGACTTCAGGGCAGAGAGCACAGTGTAATGTACAGAAATGTACAGAAGCACAAGAGAAAGTGACACCTTCCGGGGGAGGGAGGTAAACTGAGGACCCACAGGTAACAAAATAGCCAGGAGCCAATTAGAATGATCACTTTTTCTAATGTAGCCACTTTAGGAGAATCCTGCCACTTTGAATGGCACACTGATGCTTGACTCTACTCCTGGGCTTCTTGCTTGAAAAATCTACAGAGGTTGAAGGTCTTCTCAAGCTCGGATACAAAAGAGCTCCCATCGCACTGAGGAAAGATGCCCCGGTTAGGTTATCTCCCGCCCGGCGCTCCTTCTTTGCCTTCTTTACGTCTCCAAGAAATAGTTCTTTGCGCAGGAGCTCCGGCGTGGTGCTTAACCCAGCTGCCCACCCAGGTGGATTGCGGATGACTGGGGTAAGCCATCTCACCCCCTCTGGCTAACTCAGGGTTATCTGGAAC